AGTAGCAACTGTAAGTTATTGAAACAAAGATTTGCAATAGACAAAATGTAAAGCCTTAGCCCCTGAATAACCATCAGAACTACATTTTTTCTATTTTTTTTCTGTTATAACATGTAAAATGCTAAAAGGTATCCAAAACAGCAACTGAAGCTCTGAGAGGACATGAACTAGCTGACACACATTGACAACTCATCTACTGCTACGCAAAATCCTAAATCAAACTAAGTTTTTGATACGAGAAAACGTACATCATTACAGAAGGTGACAAAGATGTCATGTGTTATCCAATATCTCTAATAGAGAGTAAACCAAATAAAGCACTCCCAAAAGTTGCATTACATCCTTGACTACAAAGCTATGCCAGACATTAACAATACCTAAGGGTTGGCTTTGACCTATATTTATCATTTATAAGGAAAACCACCTTTTCTTACATATCTGTGTGTATTTACAATCATCCAAGCTCTTCTTGTTTCCAAACATCATCTATGTATGTTGTGGTCACTGAGAACTTGAAGTGTAAAGTGCTCCTAAGTGCTCACTTAAGCCTTACGTATAAAACGCAAACGCTGAAACTTTGGAAACTGCACTGAACGTTCCAATTTGAAATGTCAGTTTAACATCAAACTGCTTCCTGTTGCATAAAATCTGCCGTAGGTACAATTCCTCACCCCCACGACTTGACTTTGCTTGTCACGCTTTCCATTCAGTCTACTGAGACTCAGGATTGCTAGCGTTTGTCTAGAGAAAACTCCCTTCAGTTCATCAGAATTTAGCAAACTTGCAAGAGATAGGAATTTAAAGCTGCTCTTCAGTACCAGGAAAGCAACACTAAAATGTCAGATTTAAACGGGTTCAGGTCAATATTCCAGAAACGTGACTTGCTCACCAAGTAAGTTCAACTTACTCTATCTAAGAATTCTGAAGTTTACTATGGTATGTGCATCTTTTCAGTAAAAGGACTGCTAAAATACAATTTCATTGTTAGAAGTTGATTGAAGCTGATTTTATCTTTCATCTTTTTATCTTTGTCTTTTATCTTCGTGGGAAAGATTTTTTACAATGAATTTTAGATTAGAAATCTTGAGGACATGCAGTACTTTATTGAACATTTTCTAGTTAAAATACCAACTACTTGAATTATGTATAGTCCCCAGACTACACAGCCTGTTCAGCTGTCATTTCAAGACCCGTATATCATCTGTAATTTTTGGATGTCTTTAAGTGTCATCCTGCAGTCAGCCCTGTGACAATGAAGGGTCTAAATGGTCTCACTAAGTGCTTAAAATAGGATACTATAAAAAAAGAAGCCTGAAAGGAGACAGCTGACAAATACAACCAGTCCGCCTTTCTATGTGGCAGGCAGTGAGAGACAGCTACACCACAATTCTCCTCGGTTTCTATTCCAGGGGCAAATTTATGCATCAGCCTATGCAGTATTTAAGGAGTTTAACAATTTGCATTCTCACCAGAGACACATGAAAGATGGGATTACTAAATACATGGAAGTCCACATGAAAAAACAGTGCCCGGGATCAGCCCGGGTTTGAACTCATCCAGCAGCAGGTGCGAGGTCCGGGCCGGACACCTCACGCCAAGTCTCCGGCCAGACGATGGCCCCTTCG